AATAGATCAATGAGAACAATAGTTTAAATTTTTAATTGCAATCTTCACAGACACAGAGTAGACATTATAGACCTTTTTAAAAAGGAAGAGAGAATCAATTAGACAGCTTGTTAATTATAAATGTTATCACTAAAATTAAAATCTCAGAAATGTGGACTAAATGCTACCATGGATATAAAGAATAAATTCATGAGTTACTAGATTGAGCCTAAAACTTGACCTGATGTTTAGCACAATGAAAGAAAAAGATAATTATAAATCACAATAAATTTTAGATAGATCCAAGAAAGGAGGAAAGCAAATGTAGGAAGTAGTAATGGAAAAGAAATCCCAGAATTAAGAGCTCATCAAATATTTGAGAAGGTATGAATGAAAAAGGGCCGTCATCAAGATACATTGTGGTAAATTTTTATTAGAATAAGAATTTGAGCGAGAGATAAAAGGATACCTAGAAGGGAAAATATCTGAATTGACACCAATGCACTCATTAGCAATGTTGGATTTAAAAATTAAAATTTACAAAAGGCTTGATAAACTAGAAACAGCAGAAAATTTCACTAACTTGCTAAATGGAAATCCTAAGAACCTATAGCAAGCATCATACTTGGTGGTGAAACAATTAAATTATTTCTTTTAGAGTTTGTCAATTTTAATTTTCAATTTCAAAGATATCATATGTAACTTTTGAAGCTAAATTGATATAGATCTATACAAAGAGTTTGAAGGGTTGCATAGTATTTCATTCTATACCTGATGTATTCTAATGTATTTAATCAGTCCATCTTTCATACGGGATTGATGATTTCTAATTTATAATTGAAAAATGTCGGCGGGGCGCAGTGGCTCAAGCCTGTAATCCCAGCACTTTGGGAGGCCGAGGCGGGTGGATCACGAGGTCGAGAGATCGAGACCATTCTGGTCAACATGGTGAAACCCCATCTCTACTAAAAATACAAAAAACTAGCTGGGTATGGTGGCGTGTGCCTGTAATCCCAGCTACTTAGGAGGCTGAGGCAGGAGAATTGCCTGAGCCCAGGAGGTGGAGGTTGCGGTGAGCCGAGATCGCGCCATTGCACTCCAGCCTGGGCAACAAGAGCGAAACTCCATCTCAAAAAAAAAAAAAAAAAAAAAAAGAAAAAAAAGAAAAATGTGCACAATAGTTGAAAATTCCTATGCTCTCTCTAAATCTGATTGGATATTACCAATATCTTTAATCTGGACTAAATTAATGACTGAAAAATAAATCTTCTGTTTATTAAAATATTCTTTAAAAGATATTACTCTACAATGTATATGCTGTGAACATTTTAAAAAATAAAATAGAAAAACAGCTCAGGAGGCTAAGGTGGAAGGATTGCTTGAGTCTGGGAGGTGGAGGTTGCAGTGAGCCAAGTTCGTAGCACTGCACTCCAGTCTAGGCAACAAACTTCTTTCAAAACAAGCAAACAAAAAAAGTACTACTAAAGCTAAAGATCCTCTCATATTTTTTCATTCAATATGAATGACTAGCAAATATGTGCACCAGGTCTTTCCTGTGTACTCCGAATACATCACTAAACCAAATGCAATGCACTGCCCTCATGAACTCTCAGCCTTTTTTCTTTTATAAGCTAACTGTTAATCTATTCAGCTGGTCATCTTGCTCCTTTCGATTTTCATGAACTATTCATGCATTAGAATAATAATCCTTTGTCATGTGTGTTACAAAAAAATTTGAAGTTTTGACTTTATGTAGACACATTTGTTAATGTTTCCCTATTTTTCTACCTATTGACCCCAGGATTGAAGAAATAGTCACCTACATTTTCTTCTAATATTTTTATAATTATTGAGCTTTTAACTCAAACTTTTAACTTACCAAATAATATATAAAACAGATTTATTCCCTGCCTGGGCATGACTTAAGAATCGTATATACGATGTATAATGTAGAGTGCATTGTTTGGTAATGAAAGAGTGCTTTCACATATTAAAGGCTATGGTTTTACTCCTGCATCAGATTCTTCCTGTGTGAAAACATGGTGATGTCAGCAGAATGGTATCAAATCACCTATGTCAAAATGTTCTTCTTGGAAGCAGCTGATGCCTTTAGAATAAGGTCCAACGCCCTTAACACAGCTTGTACAACCTTTCGCCACAGGCCTCCCCAGCCTCTCCCCCGTGTGGCTCACCCTCCTCTTCCTGCCCCTTGCACCTACTTCAATCACAGCTCTCTGCACATGTCATGCCCTCTCCCCTGGAGCCCTCCTGCCTGACCTGGTTGCTTCTCACTTAGCTAACTCCTATTTAACTCCCGGGTGTAAGTTTCCATGTTACCTGCACAAGGAAAGGCTGGCAGTCAGTTTATAAATATTTCTTGGGCCACCTACTAAATGTCGGACCAATGATTATCCTCACACTCCAAGCAAGGCTTAAGAGATTTTAATCCTATACACGGTATATCAGCCATCACGGCAACTTACAATAACCTAGTGGCTTGATGGTGACAAATGGACAGGTAGTAAACATCTTGAGGGTAAGGACCTTGTCTTTTTCACTAGCATTGCAGCAGCTGACTTCTAGAAATCAAAATAAATACAGACAAAACAGTAAACCGATGGGAACCAAGAGGAAAGTATGATACAATTTTATTTCCTGGAAAGTGAATAGGGCAAGAGAAAATGTGCCTGTTATTCAAATACCTATGCCATGGGTGGCTTTGAAAGAACACTGGCTTTGAAGTCAGGAGAACTTGTTTTAACTTGTGGCAGCATCCAGTCCCAACTCTATGACCTTGGATGAGTAAACTTTTTCAGCCTCGGTTTCCTCATCTTTTAATCAGCATAACACCTATGCTACCCAAATCTCAGGGTTATCACATTTCTTGAGTTCTTATTATGTGATGCACATTGCAATTATTTCATTAATTGTATTACCCTGTTTAATCTTCATGCTCTGCGGTGGAGATATTATTATTATCCTTACTAATAAGTTGGAGATTTGAAGGACACTGAGCCCACATGAGCAAATTAGAGAGGGTTACTTAGTGCAGTAAGAGTAGAGTTTATTTAGTATTGTCTGAACCTTGGAGAGGCTCAATGAGCTAACCACATTCACACAGCTTCAAAATGGTAGAGCTGAGATTCTGACCCAGGACTGCCCAACACCTGAGCAAGAGCACTTAATCACTGCTTAAGGCTCCCTCATGTCAGAACAAGAGAGTTTGTAAGTGGACAGGCTTTGTAAACTGTCAAGCACAAGGTAAATGCTGGTGATGAGGAGCAAATCATCTGTACAGAAAAGAAGGCAGCGGTATCATCTGGATGTATGTTTGCCTTCGGAGGGGGGATGAATGCCTGGGATTTCAGATCTGATCCAAGTTCAATGTGTCTGGCCCCAGGTTATTTTCGATTCAAGGCCACTGTGTCCTGGTTTCTATCAACACTGAAATAAACACCACTTTGCAATCTGCGCCTTTTATTAATGGTGTGACTCACTTAATGAGGGCTTTGCTGACTCACATCAATCTTCCTTGTAGAAGAGCCCCATCAAGGAATTGTAGACAGCTGCCAGCCTGGATCTACTCTGTGTCAGCGTTTGGCAAGTTCAGCCACCCTGCAAACACCTTCCTGCTTCAGAAGAGGGGAAAGAGCGAAGCTTCAAGGCTCAAGATCAGCACAACACACACACACACACACACACACACACACACACACACACACACACACACACTTAAAAGCCTATTTCATTGGGTTTATCTGGACATTGTTGTTGTTGTTTTAACTTCCAGGCAGCCAAACAGCCACGAACGGATTACCCTTAAAACCTGATCATAAAATATTGTCCAAATGGGCAAAGGCACTAATCAAAACTGTGAACGGAAAGGTTTGAATTAAGGAAAAAGTTCAATGAGACACAGGGGATGTTTCATTGCAAAGTTTCTCTAATTCTGTATCCCAGGCTGACCCATAAAGGAACAAAATATTCTGCCTTGATGACAACTTGTGATTTAGCATAGTCTGTGTTACAGGAATGGCCATAGCTTGAAGATGGTAGTATGGTTTCCCCAGAGTCTGGAGCAGAATTTGTAGTTTCGTCTACACACAATGACACATGGACCATTTTTTTTTCCTGCGGAATTGCTTTTTGTTTGTTATGTGAACAAAAATGCTTGCCCCATCTGCTAGTTCTTAGGTCTGGTTTTCGTCACTGTCCACACAGAGCTCTTGAAAAACAATACAGGCTAACCCCAAGTTTGGTTGTGAATGTCTTTCAGAATAACCCACACTTGTTGGTGCTTATTTATTTTATTTTAATTTTTTATTTATTTATAAATGAAATATATATTTTATTGCATTTTAAGTTTTGGGGTACATGTGAAGAACATGCAAGATTGTTGCATAGGTACATAAATGGCAATGTGGTTTGCTGCCTTCCTCCCCATCACCTGTATCTGGCATTTCTCCCCATGTTATCCCTCCCCAAATCCCCACCCTCCACTGTCCCTCCTCTAGTTCCCCCCAACAGACCCCAGTGTGTAGTGCTCCCTTCCCTGTGTCCATGTGTTCTCATTGTTCAACACCCACCTATGAGTGAGAACATGAGGTGTTTAATTTTCTGTTCTTGTGTCAGTTTGCTGAGAATGATGGTCTCCAGGTTCATCCATGTCCCTACAAAGGACGTGAACTCATTATTTTTTATGGCTGCATAGTATTCCATAGTGTATATGTGCCACATTTTCCCTGTCCAGTCATGGACATCATCATTGGGCATTTGGGTTGGTTCCAAGTCTTTGCTGTTGTAAACAGTGCCACAATGAACATTTGTGTGCATGTGTCCTTATAACAGAACACTTTATAATCCTTTGGATATATACTCAGTAATGGGATTGCTGGGTTGAATGGAATTTCTATTTCCAGGTCCTTGAGGAATCGCCACACTGTCTTTCACAATGGTTGAACTAATTTACGCTCCCACCAACAGTGTAAAAGTGTTCCTATTTCTCCACTTCCTCTCTAGCAACTGTTGTCTCCAGATTTTTTAATGATCGCCGTTCTAACTGGCATGAACATACAAGATCGCTTGATGTGCCCTTCTCTCCTGGGCCTCCCTATGAGTCATCCATTTAGGTTGGGAACTTCTCAATAACGATGTCCCTTCCAGGACCAGCATTTTTCCCTTTTTCACCGGCACAGTCCTTCCTGGACTCAAGAAGGAAACCAAAAAACGAGGAAAGTTTTCATAAGCATTGCAACAAAGGGAAGCGTGCTATTTAAATATGAGATTATACAATAGATGTAACGTAGAGTAACACATAAGAATCGCCTGGGTGGCATCATAACTCACCTTTCCAGGATGGCAATTCTGACCTCATAAGAAACATGTAGGGAGTCCCTTAAAGATTCTATTGTTTCTGGGCTGGGGGATGCTGGAAGTGAGGGAATGCTGAGAGGCTCAAAGGGATTGCTTCATTTAGAGGACTTTCTTTAGCTACCATGCAGAAGTAGAACTGCAGGGCATCTGCGCTGTTTTGAGTTGGGGATTTCCACAAAAATTCCCCTCCTCTCCACCCCTGTCCCAGGGCATAAGGAGTGGCAGTGCCTGAGAGGAAGACATATGAAATTCACAACTGGCCTTGCCGGAACACCTGGGCAGGAAGCCCAATGCCAGCAAAGGAAATTGAGGCAGGATAGAGGATTCTCTCCAAACCAAGATTCCTTATTGCACCAGCAGTGGCCACTACAGCAGCTGGCCAGATAGAGAAGATCTGCAGAGAGGAATTCATCCTGCCAGAATGCCAGGTTGAATTTTCTGAAGCATCACTCACCCCCATCTTGCTCTTCAGCTTCTGAACTGGTAACAGACACCCAGATTCAGAGCTGAGAGGAAGACTGTGAAAAGGAAGGGGACAAATATAAGACATGGACACTGCTGAGGGATTCAAACAAAATGGAAATGAAAGAAAGGAAGTAGTGCACTCCGTAAGTAGAGGAAGAATTAATGAAAACCGTCAGAAAGGGTCAGAATGTGGGTGTGTTGGCTGCCATTACCATTTTTAACAACATCCACAAGAGAGATGATCTCCAGTTTGCAATGGGATGGGCTGCAAGTCTGTTGGAAGGGAATGCAGCTTTCCAGGATAAACATTCTCTATTTGTAGTGTTCAATTTTAGTAGACTAAGAGTTTAGTAACACTTACAGGGCTGAAACAAAGAAAAAAACAAAAGCCAATTTCTCCTAAACTCCAAACCGAAGCGGTTTTAAGTAATGACTTGAAGTCCTGGAATTAGCAAGATATAAAACTTCGGCCCCAAATCTCCACTCAAAAATCTTTCATTAAGGGGTCTCTAGAGATGACACATTCTAGCCTGGTAGGAATGGCAAGAATACTCAGGATTATCCCCAAAGCCTGCTGTTTTAGACAACTTCAAATCACTATTGAGAGGAGGGTTGCACAGAGCACAGAGGTCGGTTTGGAAACTATATGGAAACAAGATCTTTGTTACTTACACGTGCAACTGATGGGAAGCAAATAGACAAGAAATCTACTAAGTTATTAAGGAAATTGTATCCAAATAAATCACAAGCTTTACCTCAAAAGCTAGTAACCATTCAACCCCTAAGCAATTCCCAGGCCCTGCACCAGCAGGAAGAGGGCAAATAAAGTGTGCAGCTCCCATGAACATCAACCTTTCAAAAGCTCACCCTAGATGTGACCACCAAGGGCAATGAGCAAGGAGCAGAGGCCGAGGCCTCAGGATGGGACCACCAAACAGAGGATCTTTGCTGTAGCTACTTTGCGGCAGGGCTCATTGCTGTAGATCCAGCTGGAGGGAAGGACAGAATTAGGATCACACAGTAGCCACTGCTCAGTAACTATCGTGTGTTTCCAAATATTTCTCTCCAAGAAAACGTTTTTGTTTCGGTCATCATATTTCTCCTTCATTGATATAGATTAGATATGGAAGGACAGTAAATGTGTGTTTGGGGTTAGACACTGATTGATGAGGAGCCACAGCAGGCATGGAGAAGACTGCACATCACTCTGCAATCGTGGAGTCTGAATTGAGCGCCCCACCTAGATAGGACTTGGGACTGTCTCCCTGTGGGAGAGGAATATGCCAAATGAGTGGAATAAATGTACCTGGATATTCAGGTGGTCAAAAGGGCAGAATAGCAGAGACAACTAATTCACCGCAATATCTGTTTTCTTCTATCACAGAAATAACTGGCTAAACAGATGGCTACTCAAAGGGAAGAATATGCTTCATGGCCTCCCTTGCATTGTGACCATATAACCAAGTTCTGGCCAACTGAATGTAAGCCAACATAATATATGCACCTTTTAGGAAGTTTCCTTAATAGAAGGGTCCAACCTCTTCTTTGGGCTTTCTTCCTTCATGCTGGATGGAAGAAGATGTGATGGATGTTGCTGCAGCAACCATTTTGTTACTTAGGAATGAAAGTGAAACAAGATGAGCATCCTGATAACCGTGAAACTATGCTTCCATAGCAGCTCCAGACTGCCTAATGATTTTTTCTTGAAAAAAAAATCAACTGAAATTTATAAAAGTCACTGTTTTTTTGCCCTTGGCCCTTAAAAACTTAAAATAACTATAATACATGTACAACCTAAAATTACCAAAAGAAATGTTCCAATCAAGTAGTAAATGGATTGTAATAAAAAGCCCTCACATAGAAAACTATGGTATGAAAGAATTGACAGTAGGTGTGAAAACTATTAAAGCAAAAATACCAAGTCTAAATAATTCCCTAGATAATGCTGTAAAAGTACTTAATGAATAAAAAGTTTTACGATGTAAAGTAATGATTATCATGTAATAAGTTACAGGATGTATTCAGTCTTACTGATCATTACAATATTACTGCTGACTTCCCACGTGCCAGGCACTGTTGTCAATGCATCCTGTGACTTATGTCATTTTATTTCTATAACAACCCTATGCTACTACTATGCTCACTTTTGAGATGGGGCAGCTGAGGCACAGAGAAGGTAAATCCTTCGATCACTGCCATATGCTATCTGTCAACCAAAACCTAGGACTTGGTTGAGCAAAGTGTAAAGTCTAATAAGAGTGCTAATTTCTTCATTTTATATAAAGAGGACTAGTGAATGTTTTGCTCTTGTTTCCAATTAGGTTATCAATGGCAATGAAGCAAAACAGAATATATCTGTTCTAAGTCACTAGAGGAAAATGTGTTTATGAAAAGGAATAACAACCCATACAACAAAAAATTGAAAGTAAAGGAAAACTGAGAGAACCTTACAAATAAAGCACAGAACAAGGTAACAGAAATAAAGGAAATAATAACACTCATTACATAATTGGCCCTCTGCGCCTGCAGTTTTCACAACTGCAAATTCAACCAACCTCATATTTAAAATATTTAGATGTGAACAATTAAGAATAATAAAACAAGAATTACACAGACATAAAAATAATATACTATAAGAACAATTTACATAGCATTCACATTATATTAGATGTTATAAGTAATGTAGAAATGATTTTAAGGACACAGTAGGATATGCATGGGTGATAGGCAAATACTATGCCATTTTTTATAAGGGACTTGAGCATACTTGGATTTTGGCATCCTAGGAGTCCTGGAACCAAACCCCCACTGGTGTAGAGTGGTGACAGCAAATGAGTAAACTACTCTATTGAAAGGTGAAGTTCTACAAGTTTAGACAAAATACGAAATACAAAAGTGTAATCAATCTACTATAAATAAGGACAAGAAACTAACCCACCTATTCAGTATATACTAAAAGAGATATTTTAAGTTAATTGATACCTGACTGTATTAGTCTGTTTTCACTCTGCTCACAAAGCTATACCTGAAACTGGGCAATTTACAAAAGAAAGAGGTTTATTGGACTCACAGTTCCACATGGCTGGGGAGGCCTCACAATCATGATGGAAGGCAAGGAGGAACAAGCCACATCTTACATGGATGACAGCTGGCAGAAAGAGACAAAGTGCAGGGAAATTCTCATTTTTAAAAACATTCGATATTGTGAGACTCACATCACTGTCAACAGAAGACTGCAGGAAAGATCTGCCCCTATAATTCAATCACCTCCCACTGGATTCCTCCCATGACATGTGAAAATTGTGAAAGTTACATTTCAAGATGAGATTTGGGTGGGGACACAGCCAAACCATATCAGCGATGTAATTAACCAAATGGTAGCATACCTACCATTAACTGCAAGAATTAAGCTATCCTCTACCAAAATGAAGTCTAAGTGAACTACAGGTGAAAATATTTTAAAAGCAATCTAAAAAGTCATAAAAGTATCTTTAAATAATTTAGAATAAGGGTGGTCTTTATATATATTTAAGAATAAAGGTAAATGCATAAATGAAAAGATATGTGATACAGTAGAACCTTTTACAAAAACACACAATAAGCAAATCAAGATAGAAGAAATTGGGGCAAAAATAGCAATACTGAAGGCATAAAAACAGATTAAACTCAAGACATATAAAAACTTTCAAAAATCCAAAGATAAGCGGTAAACTAAAATAAAAAGAGAAAAGAGTTAAACATACGTTTACAAAATGACCATATTTTATTTTTTAAATTTTTTTTTACATTTTTTAAAATACAGGCAGAATCTCACTGTGTTGAAAAACTACGCTGGACTGAAACTAGTTTTTTTTTTTTTTTTTTTTTTTTTTTTTTTTTTTTTTAATACAGACAGAATCTCACTATGTTGAAAAAAACTAGGCTGGTCTGAAACTCCTCGGCTCAAGCAATGCTCCCACCTTGGCCTCCTAAAGTGCTGGAATTAGAGGCATGAGCCACTGTGCCCAGCTACTAACCATATTTCAAGCATGATACTGTTCAAAATCCAATAACAATTTTGATTCATAACCATAAAAAGAAATACACTTTCCAATGTTGACAAAGATATGGGAAAAAATACATCTAGGGGTATAAATTAGTTCAACATTGTAAAAGTATTTTGGCAAAATGTGTAAATGTATCAAACCTTTAAAAATACTCACCTGTTTTTACCCCAAAATTTTGATTCTAATAATTTGTATTCTTAACGCAATTAGACTCAAGATTTAACTACAAGAATATTCGGTCAGGAGTTGAAGAGCAGCCTGACAACATAGCGAAATCCCATCTCTACTAAAAATACAAAAATTAGCCTGATGTGGTGGCACGCACCTGTAGTTCCAGCTACTGAGGAGGCTGAGGTAGGAGAATCGCTTGAACTCGGGAGACTGAGGTGGCCGTGAGCTGGGATTGCGTCACTGCACTCCAGCCTGGGCAGCAGAACAAAACTCCATCTCAAAAAAAAAACAAAAAGGAGAATGTTCATACTGTATTTGGAATGTAGAAAAAAAGTGAAATAATCCAGAATTTCAAAAAGAATAATATGAAGTCATTAAAAACTATAGTTGGAAAATATTTACAAATGGTGAGAAGAATGTATATTATAATTATGTATTACAAATAATATATATTAAAATACATATATATGAGCATACCATAAATGCTATCTATGGCTTGACCATATTCTGTAGGAGAAAAAATGTATATATGTTCTATTATATAATAATAATATGTGTATTACATATAATAAACTACTTATAATATATTATATAAAATATATAATACTATTATATAACAATATGTTATATATTGTATAATACATATTGTTATATAATAGTATATGTAATTATTGTAATATATAACATTATGTATAACATGTAGTATAACATATGTACTATAATGTGTTATATATATTTAGTGAATAGATATATATATTCACTGAATTGTAAATAGTGATTATCTCCGGGTTGAATGATCAAATTATGGACAATATACCACAATTTCCTTTCCTTTGTGCTTTTTCTGTGTATTTTGATTTTTCTGTGTGTATTTTTTATAGTAGTATATGTTAAGTATTAGATTAATAAGGATTTAAAATATTCTATTTAGCTCCTAAAATCAAAATGAAGGTCTTTTATGTCCCAAAATGAATTAATTATCTTAATCTCCTAAATCCATGCCTTCTTTAATATTTTATCTTGGGACCCACAAGCCAGAAAGCTGAGGATTATGCTCATCTCCACCTCTGCCTGGGCACCTCAAAGATCCACATTCCATTCGTTTCACTTCCATTCACATCTGACATCCTTCTCCCCATACCCTTGGTGTATAACAAGCTGATTTGTGGTCGGAAGGATCCCTTAGGGGATGCTGTCTGTTCCAGTAACTGCTTAGATACTTTCTGTCTTTCTTTCACGCCAAGGGTGGACCTACCAGCTTCGCACTCTCAGCTGTGTCATAGTAATCTCTCAAGCCTCAGAGCCATGGAATTTTAGAATAAAAAAGAACATAGAGATTCTCTTACTCTGTCCCTAAGTTTTCTCAAAAGAATAAACTGAAAATCAGAGATGCAAAGTCATGTCCAATTTCACAGCTAATTCCTGTCTGGAGTGCAGACTCCCCCAGTCTTCACCACCTCAAACCTCAAATTCATTCATTTCTTAGTAGAAGCCAGGCGTTCTTTTCTGCCCTCTTGCAGCTCCAACAACAAAGGGGTTTGCACAATAAAAACGCTGGTAAGATTTGGGGTGCAAACTCTGGCTTTTAGCTGAGCTTGCTACGCGGCTGTAGCTGAGCCATAAAGCAATCTGGTCTTGGCTGCCTTCTTAACTCAAATTTGCAAAGTAAAGTAATAAAGTATAACAGAAGCTTCCTTTGATTTAAGGTTGCTGGGGGAGCTCCTTGAGTTAGGAACAGAGATCCGAGTTGTTTATTTAAATAAATGAATAGAACTTTAACAGAACAGCTAATAAACAAATCCTCCAGAAGGTCATGCCAGGCTCCCTGGGACCCGAGGTGTTGGGTCTGAAATCCAGCCAAAGAGATTGAGGCATCACTTTGGCCTCCCAGAGGTCTCCAGGGTCCCGGTGGGGCCTTGGATTTGGAATGGCTTCTAAGAAGCCAGGCCTAGGGGGCTGGCAGTAAAAGGGAGCTTTATTTGACCTACCCTCCAGAAGGAGGTGAAGCCCAGGGACACTGCCAGTTGGGAAAACCAGCACCCACAGCACGGAGGCCCACCCAGCTCCTCTTCTCAGACCACAGATCTATTCTCCATAGCTGTCACAGCTTCCTTCTAAGCCAGCTAAGGAGTAATACGTCTTCAGATACAGGCCAGCTGACATTTGAATTTTAATTTTTTAACGCGTTAGATATGAGGTATAATTTAGGTTTGCATATTGACGTCCTATTGGCAAGCTGACCTTAGAATGACTCCCAGCCCTATCAAGGAATTTTCTCCCTGAAGCCCCTAGTCCCGCTTCCCTTCTACGTAGAAGCATCTGCCTTCTCTTCTCTCCCTCTTGCATTTCAAGACCCTGCCCAGAAGCAATGTCCTTCATGTTGCCTTCACTTAAGAACCCAAAGTGAACCTTCTGTCTTCTGCTTCCCTGAAGGACGTGGTTGGCCCTTGGAAATCTGCCTGCCATTGTAATGAGCTTTCTCATATGGTAGAGATCTAGACAGAGATCTGTATGCTTTGCCCTTAATCAATGCTCAGTAAAAAGATATAGGCTGGGCGTGGCGGCTCACACCTATAATCTCAGCACTTTGGGAGGCCCAGGTGGGTGGATCACGAGGTCAAGAGATTGAGACCAGCCTGGTCAACATGGTGAAACCCCATCTCTACTAAAAATACAAAAATTAGCTGGGCATGGTGGTGCACGGCTGTAGTCCCAGCTACTCAGAAGACTGAAGCAGGAGAATTGCTTGAACCCAGGAGGCAGGGGTTGCAGTGAGCCGAGATTGCGCCATTGCACTCCAGTCTGGGTAACAAGAGCGAAACCCCATCTCAAAAAAAAAAAAAAAAAAGATAGATATCAAACAAAGAAAACCTAAGCATGTGGCAGAGAGAAGTTCTCATTGAAGAGGCCAGGAGGGAGGTAGAGATGTGTTACCACTTTCTGGGACATTGCGGTCTGTCTACACTCACAGAATGAGTGCTAGATGTTGCTTTATTTTGTTTTTGGCAAGATAGGTGCAGTTCAGGGCTTTCTTCCACTGCTTCTGCATTTCAAAGCAAGCTGGGGAGCCCTGGCTGACGTAACAACTGCTTATGACTTTCCCTTGCAGTATTTTTTACTAGAACAGTTTTACTAATAGGCTGTTTACAGTCATTTTCCTTTCCCAGCTGGCCGCAGAGTGAAATGAAAACAAAAAAATGATACCCAGGGGTTTATCAATTTTTCTCCCTTATAAACTGTTAGTGTGTCTCAGCAGGAGAAGTTCACAATCCCCGATTTATAACTGCGTTCAGCAGGATTTGTCTGCCCAGATTGACTCACAACGTGGAAAAAACCCAGATCCCTCCAGGGGAGCTGATGCCTCTTGCTGAGCCTGGCAGCCTTACTGCTGGGTCTGTGATGGGGCCGGGGGGCTGCGGCTCACAGGGCATCAGAGCTATGCAGGGAGAAATGTAGACGCCATCCCAAAGTGGCTTTACAAAGATTCCAAATGGGTAGACGGGTTTTATTTCTCCTACATGTATTTACTTAAGTTTCTTTTTAATATATCCAAGGGGGAAAAAAAGCTCTCTATCATGATATTTAGCTTGTAAGAAGCAGGAGACGGCCCAACACCAGCACCTAAAATCCTAAGCCAGAATAAGACAGTGAAGGGACAGAGACACAGAGAAGCAGGAGGGAAAAAAGTAAGAGGCAGCAACTCAGATTTCCTCACTGACCAAATGGGGAAGAAAGAAACAGCCAAACCCCATTTGGCTGGGTAGCACGTGGCAGGAGCTACCCAGATAAGCCATTGCCTTAAGGTTATGGTGAATGAAAGGAAGGAGTTTGTGCAAAGGATCATTTCATCCTTTCCATATGCACTTGGTTAAATAATCAAGC